AGCGATTCTCTAGAAGTAGTGAAAAGTAACCCAAATAACAGAGAGGAAAAGAAGCCTGGAGCTACTTGATGTCCGCTGTGCAATGCTCCTCATGATTTGGACGTACATAAGTAGTTACTAGTAAGTCTCTAAATGAAAAAAATTGGAACTGGATTACGAGACGACGAAGGAGATCTTCCGGTTTCATGTGTTGGCAATCGCGTTCCGGAAAAACATGTACAGACGTTGCCTAACCATGCAGTGGCCTCTACTTTGAACAATCCAGTCGATATCCTGAAGCCAATCCAGGCGATATCACCGCTCGCGGCGCTAGTACGCAAGAGTTAGTCACCAACAATCTATGATAGACAGCAAACAGAATGAAAATACTCTAATAGCCCAGCGCACCACAGCCGGACACGTGACCCCGAAACACCACTATCGTGAAAAATAGGGACTGTGTACCCCTGACTAATGCTATGGTGATACCTTGAAGTTTTAAGGTTATTATTAAGACGACCATAACCAAAGAAAAGTCAAATAACTATTTTAACAAGACGCAGACAAAAACAAATCAAACCTGTCGAAAGCTGTGTGTAGGAAGATTGACCGTAGAATGACACTCAACTGTCACTTTTCACAAACGCGCTGACCATGATCCTTCGCTTAGTACAATCGCAGCTAAATCTCTGCTCCGTGTCGACAAAATTATTATTTGTGCCCATTCGATCTTCACTAATATCGCTTTTTACTCGCAGGTGGTGTTGTATAATTATGTTAATGTGGATCATACTTGTGGTAAGCACAGTGATAAATAATGGTAATTGAACTGAGTGGAGTGCAATTTGGTCTGAAATCATACGCGTGATTTCAAAATTGAACGAGCGCGCAGCGCGAGTTCAATTTGAAATCACAAGTATGATTTCAGACCACAATTGCACGACACGAAGTTCAATTGCCACTTTATTTGATCCATTTTGAAATCGCACAATTTAATCGCCTTAAATTTTAGATTTTGGTGCATTGTTCCATCAGCCGGTTTGTTAAAAATAGCGGAACCGGAAACGTAGGTACGTCTCATTTAGTATGCAAACGATGTCATGTGACGAAAACTCATTGAAGCATAACCTGGTACAAAGAAACAAGCAGTGAAGTCAGAACGTAAAGAGCCTACTTCGTGCATAAAAGTTCAATTCTCGTCACCGAATCAATGATGAAAGGCCTTCCTTTCTTCTGTAGTTGAGGCTGAGACTTCTAGTTGTCTTTGGAGAAGGAATTTGAAGGTGCAGCTAGTGCAATTCTGCGATGGATTTCTTTTGAGTTGTGAAACTCCTTCGAGTGCACGATGCCCAGTGGATAGTTGTTCTCTTTAAAATACCGTTCAATGGCACTCTGCTTGATTTTAAGGGATTCCAGTTCGTTATCATCTCCGTTTCTTTTTGTGACCTCGACATAGAACTTAATACTCAGGATCTTGTCAAGTTCTTGCCGCGCCATTTATTTCAAGATATTTTCAAGATGGCAGGACTGTCACCGGCCAGCTTAGGAAGTTCGTTCATTCATTGTTTTGTGGAGCGGGGCGTATTTTTGTTCACAGCGACAGAGTTGAGCTCTTGTATTGCTTGGTTTAAAACTACCGAAAACCTGGAAACATCTATCTTCTTGAGATGGCTCTGAATTTGTTGTTGTGTGGTGTTCGTTTATCTATCAGATGAAAACCAGGAACGAATTGTCGAATGAGCTTCTCGTTAAGTCAAGTCTATGATGATTATGCTTTTCTCGTAAAGCGATTAAACTCCAGGAAACAACAGACTACATGCAGTACGTACTCTATAACTTCTTCTGGCCTTTACTCGCTGCCGACAAACTTGTTTTGAGCACAAGTTGCTCTGAAATTCTCAAATTGGTGATGTGTATCACAACTGCGTTTCCATTTGCACCTGAACAAAATTTCCGTTATCTATTTTGCGTTGCTTGCAAGCAAATGGCCATTTGGAATGGGCTATCAAGACTTCTCGCACTATGTATATTTGTTTGGTTATGGCACAGGGAACAAGACGACAGTACATATAAAGTTAACGTTGGAAAATTAAAAAAATAATATAAATAATTCAAAAATTTCCTGACTCTTTGGCAAGAGCTTGGGTTAGTCAGGAATTCATTTCCTTATGTCTAAGTGCTAGTCTAACAATTGAGAGTGTATTTGTTCAGTTCAACGAAATTTCCGATAAGTATATTGTTTTTAAAAATGAAATTTTTATTCTATTGACAGGGCTGCTCGAATGTCTTTGCTAATTTAGATTTAGGTAAGTTGTTATTTTTTTAAATTTATTTCAGCTGAAATTGACATCTACGTAGAATAAATATATATATGTAATTCTATTTTATCTGCTGAAAGTATTTTTGGTGCTCGTTTGCGCTGGTTTAGACACAGTCTGAGCAATAAATCATTCTTGTATGTTAATAAAATAACAATGCATATATCAAACGGCTAGGGAAGCGCATTTATCAAATACTAACCATAGAAAAATAAGAATATGGAAACTAATAGGAAACATTTGCAGCAGAGTTATTTAAATAAAGATTTTAGTAAAAATTAGTTAGGTATAAACTGTACTTTAACGCTTGTAATTTTTAACCTATAACTTAGTTTTTTAGAATTTTAGTTTTTAAGCTGTAATTTTCACTTTTAGCGTGTAACGTTTATTTTTTATGTATTTTAATTGTAATGCGCATTTGAACATATACGTATGGAATTTGCGCACAACAAATTCATAATTATTATTATAATTATTATCATAATTATTATTTCATTCAAACTAAGACTTTTTCAGATAAATATTGCAAAACGGGTAAGAAATATAGTTTAGATCTCTGGCTTTTCTTGATTTTCAGGTTCGGTAGGTCATCAGTACTGGAAGTTAGATGGCAGTGATGTCGACATCGGGTCAGTTAAATGGCTGCTGAATATTTTAGATTAAGACTTGTATGACTGACTACCTATCGTATTGAGAAAATCTATATCTTTTAAGTTTCGTCAAGGGTCTTTAAAGTTCTGAGCAATGGAATCAAGAGCATAAGTAGATTGGCCTGTCCACCGTGGTCCATCGGGCCAGTGGATGACTGCGCACTAAAGCATTGAACAGGTTGCCACATTATCCTCGACATACTAAATTCATAACGTGAAATGTTTTCCAAAAAAGTTTGTAAAATCAAATTCTGACAGGGAGAGCGCTGTTGAAATACGATTCTCAACAATTCTTAGCGTTCGCTCTCTTCCTTCTTTTTCTTTCCTCGCCGCAACGGAATGAATGGCTACAAGAGAAAGTGGGTTAGATCATGGTCTCTCAGATGGTTATAGTTGCCAAAGACAATTTTGGTAAAAATGGAGGCTTAAGATGATAGATTATAAAGGTCCTTACCGCCTTCTACGAAAACGTTTCGTCTAGATATCAGTATACCCAATCAAAATTAATAAACCTTATTACATGGAGTGATAAAATAACATGCTCTAGTTTGGTCAGTGACTTATGTGCTGACAAAACCGGCGTCGAGGAAGCATCGTTCCTGTACCAGTTGTGACGTCATTACCTTTTACGCCAGGAGATGCTTTTGATATTCAGCTGATCTTCCTTAACATAGGAAGAAGTCTGACAAGGCTTTCAAATGAGCATAATGGGGTGAACTAGGTCAGAGATAACTGCAATAAACGTATAAAGAAAAGCGAAAGGAAAGCGTGACCCTCCATACCATTGGAAACTTTCATTAACAAATTACCACTTTCCTTGACGTTTCGGTGATACCTTTTCCAGTGGGAACATAGGTGATTGATTGCAAGTTCAGCAAAACTAGAAAAGGACGAAAGAGAAAAGAAAACGGACAAAAAAAAGGTAAAACCAAAAAAAAAAGCAAAAAGCCTAAATGGGTGAAACCAAAATCTCCAAAGTTTACTTTTTGCGCATGCCCAAACAAAAATCTGTATAAACCGCTTTCGGGGTGATTTGGCCGCAATCTGTTGAGAAGAGAGCCGGAATTAGGCGTATGCAGCTGAGATGACCATTTTTGAGGAAATTTGTAGAATTAAATGGGTCAACTGAAAAATATTTTAAATATATTTTAAACGGAAACAGATTTTCTTGCCTCTTCTTATTGATTTTCAGCTACAACAATGATTCGGAATTCAGTATTGGTAGATGTCCTGAAAGCAAGTCGCTTACCTTCAATAAATCAATATCCTACGTTACAGCTCCTTGCATAGACCTCAATAAACGCAAAAGTTTTACATATTCCATATGGATGTATTTAAAGTTTACCACAAAAGATAAGCTTCCAACGTTTTACGCCGACATAAGAGGTTCGGGTAGAAGAAATGGTTTCTTCCTTTCCGTACCAGAGGATCAAGCGATTCGCTTGACAGTAATCCTGGGCGGCGATACGAGCGAACTTTTAAAGAGCAACGAAAAAATACAACTTAACACCTGGACACACTTTGCTATTACTTTCAATGAAGATACGGATGATTTAAGCTTGTACATTGAGGGGAAGAAACAAGAATATGCATCAGTCTGGCAAGGGATAGATTATTTCAAAAAATTGGGTGAACCCATCTGTACCATTGGTAACAAGCCAGAGTTTCGGGCCGACACGAAGCACCAGCTTTATGGATCAGTCATGGATCTTTATATTCTCAGCACTGCACCAGATGATATCGTTGATTTGCTCAGAGGTACGTTCATGTTTATATGTATGAACTGAAGTATTTAGATTTTAGGATTTGTATCCCTCTCAGCGTGGCTGCAGTCGAAGAAACGATACTAAGAAGGCCGAACATTCCTGTGGTACAAATGTATAACAACACCNTCAGACTTATATGATCTTTCGTATATTCATTTACAAGACTTAGATAATTCGTCATCAAGTGTTATCCTTCTTGCACCTATTTTTATAGTGGCACGCCATGTGGCAGATCCATCTGATGACCGTCCTTTTACTCACACACAGCAAGGTTCAACTTTTAGTTCTTAGCACAAGATTCTAAAGATTTTGCCAGACTTATTAAAATCTTTTCCATATCCCTCCAGAAGAATTATGCGTCTCTAACATAAAAATTAACCAAAAAATATATCAATGGAAATCTACCACATAACCCTTTAATCTGTACCTACTATATGTTTTTTGCTCGAATTGCAGAAACTTCAATTGAAAAAACAATTGGTATTACTTTGGGAAGTATGTCTGTGTTCCTGGTGATGATCGTGGCGACTTTATGCTACAGTAGAAAGTTAGACAGGAAGCGACAGCGAGCTAGCAGGAGGAGAAAATGGTCAGTAAAATGTGTAATTTCTGACTTCAAATGTTTAAGCGAGCAACCGTGGACGATGATCTTGCTGGTAGACGTTGGATCAATAGTGATCTAATATGCGTTAAATAGAAAATACAACGTAGGATAAGTTTTGAGAGCACGAACTGAATTTAAAAAAGTAAACAAGATAAAAGAAAAGACAAAATCACCTCGCCGCAAAACAAAATCAACTTGCGGCGGAACAAAATCAATTCACAGCAAAACAAAATCAACTCAAGGCAAAAAATAATTTCAGTCAGTCATCCCCATAGCGCTGGAGGACGCATAGGGCGGCAACGAGGCTCTTTCACTGATTATAACCGATCTTTTGCGGCCTTCTCGATTGTGCTCTAGCGTAGATGATGTTGTTGTAGCTCTTCCTCTACTGTCCTGAGCCATGTTGTTCTTAATCTGCCCTTTTTCTGCTTTCCTTCTGGTGTCCAATGTACAGCAGTCTTAGTGATAGATGTTCCANTGTATATCCTCTTCCAGTTATGGCGTTGTGATGCGGTACAGGGCCCCATGTTGATTGTCTGCCGCTGCCTTCTCAGCAGCACTAGTAAGCTCATCTAGGTGGTTCCGCTTGTCCTTTCTCACTAACCTTTTCACTTTGAGACTCTCTTTAAGCCTCTTTGACTTTGCTTCAATCACAGTCCATGTCTCGGGAGTTATCCTCTCTTTACGCCCTGATATACCCAATGGTCTTTTTGCTGCACTCAGTATACAGATTCACTACGTTCTTCCAGTGCTTGTCTATAACATTCTCTGTGTCTTCCTGCATATCATCCTCCGCATCGTCTCCATTCCCTTCAACAGTCAGGGTTTGAAACCTGTTACGCAGTTGTAGGATGAAGGTCTTCTTCATTGCATGGTTTTTCAACATACTCATATTAAATCGCTATATCATTTTCACTGGTGGTCCACTCCGTTTTAACTTCAGCTTCATTTCAACAGTTACAAGGTGGTGGTCGCCAGCCACATCTGCCCCTCTCCGTACCTTAACATATCTCGGCGAGCCTCGCCACTTGCCATTAATTAACAAGTGCTCAATTGGGTTCTTGTCTCGTCCATTTAGGGAGCACCAGGTCTTGCAAAACGGGTACCACCAATCACAAAGTTGTTGGTGCTGCAAAATTCTACTACCCTTTCACCATTACTGTTCATTACACCGCATCCATGCATTCTCATTTCTCTTTCATAGTTGTTGTTTTCCGAGCAGACTTTTGCATTCATGTCACCCATAACGAGGAATAGATCTTGGTTAGGAATCTTCGCCACTTCAGTTTGCAGGGTACTGTAGAAATGCTCCTTTTCATCATCATCAGCGTCGTTCGTGGGAGCTTAACATTGGATTACAGAAGTTGGTATGTCTTCCAGAAAATTTCTGGTCCTTACTATTCTACTAATGATTGGTTTCCATTCTAAATAATGATTTTTTACGCCACTTTTAAGGATTATAGCGACGCCTTCACGATGATAGTCATCCTCACGACCAGAAAAGAGTACACTTTCTCCTGTGCTGACTTTTAAAGATCCCAAGCCAGTCCACCTCGTTTCACTTGCTCCAAGAATATTCCGTTTATATTGTCCCATCTCTCTGTGCCAGCATTCCTACCTCAAACATTGTTGTTACATTCCAGAAACCAAGGCGTATCTTGGTTTTGGTGTTCAGGGCTTTCGTCCTCGTATCAGCTATTTCCAGTAGGTTTTGGCTGTTGACAGTCATAAAAGTCAGAGACTCCGAAAGTCCATCACAACCAGTTAGTCTACCTCTGTTCTCGTTTCTGTAGCATATGCAATGTTTTATAGGGTAAGGTTGCTGGCCTTACGCCCAACCCCCAAACCTAGAGGACCAGGGGATCGCTCTTTGTCTGGCCTCTAGCCTCTGACCTGTCCTGCATAGGTGACCCTGCCGGAAATACAAGACTCCTGCCGGCATAGCTCTCGGGGCCTTGGAGACACACAAGCCGCCTCACCACTGCAAGGTGGCGATCCCACCGGGGCAGAAAATCAATTCCCAAAATCAACTCAAAGCAAAACAAAATCAACTCACGACAAAACAAAATCAATTTAAGGGTAAACAAAATCAACTCACAGCAAAGCAAACCAAAATCAACTCACAGCAAAACAAAATCAATTCACGGCGAAACAAAATCAACTCACGGCAAAACAAAATCATCTCAAGGCAAAACAAAATCATCTCACAGCAAAACAAAATCAATTCTCGGCAAAACAAAATCAAAACAAATTCAATTCACCGTGAAACAAAATCATCTCGGAGCAAAAAAAATCATCTCAAAGCAAAACAAAGTCAAATCACGGCAAAACAAAATCATTTCACAGCGAAACAAAATCAACTCTCGGCAAAACAAAATCATCTCAAGGCAAAACAAAATTATCTCACAGCAAAACAAAATCAACTGACAGCAAAACAAAATCAATTCACGGCTAAACAAAATCAACTCAGCAAAACAAAATCAAAACAAAATCAATTCACCGTGAAACAAAATCAACTCAAGGCAAAACAAAATCAACTCACAGCCAAATAAAATCAATTCACGGCGAAAAAAAAATCAACTCACGGCAAAACAAAATCAATTCGCAACAAAACAAATTGTTCAGGAAATTTTTCCTTTTCTAAATTGAAAGGTACCAGAAAAAGCAGTGACCAAATCACCGAACAACGAGCTGGAAACACGATGAATCCGATACATGAGGCTGACGTGACCAGCCAAGGTTGCCTCGTTATTGAAAAGGCGCCAAATGAACGGCCTCGTTTTGATTCAACTCTGCCCAGGCACTCGCGATGTCAAAAATTACATCTCTTCCAGCTATGAAGC